TCTGCGAACACGCAAAATGTGGACCTGGCAACCGCGCTAAGGTCCTTACAGCAGATCATAGGTCCTCTGATTAGCGCAACACAGGCTTTGCAGGCGATCTTTCCTGCAAATGGCTAGGTACAATCGACGACAGCCTGCATTTATCAGAATTCTTTTTTGGAATTGTTTGAGTCTAAGGGACATTCCCAAAAGACGGGAATTTCATCAAGCTCTTGTGGACGAAAGTATAGATGTGGCCTTGCTGCAGGAAACATTACTTAATCCTGGAGATCGTCTAGCTTTCCCGAATTACGATGTTATCCGGGCTGATAGATTGACTGGACGGGGTGGCGGCTTGGCAGTGCTAGTGAAACGCGGTATTGACTACCACAGAAGCACAAACGCTGACATGCAGAGCATCGAAGCGGCTTCCGTGGTGGTCAATATGACGGGAGGTGTGCCGTTAAAAATCACATCGGTGTATGTCAGGTGTGGTAACAGGCTGCAAGAGGCGGATCTGGAAGTCCTTTTAGACTACTCGGGTCCACTTATTCTGGCAGGGGACTTCAACTGCAAACATCGAGCATGGCATTCCAGGTTGAATTCCACCAGTGGGATCCGACTGTACAACCATGTGATACGAAATGGCTACCTCATACATAGTACTGAGGAGCCGACGCACCACCCATTTAATCACCTTCAGGCACCTGATGTTCTTGATTTGGCATTATCCAAAAACTGTAGCTACAGTATCACTTCTCGAATCTCAAGCGATCATCTTCCCGTCGTTTTGGAAGTGGCTAATGAGCAGATCTTGGGGGATGAGATCCCTCCAAGGAAACGCATTGATTGGGAGCTATACAAGTCGCTCCTCAAAGAGTTCCCCAATATACTGATCATAGATGATGAGAACGGTATAGATGCGGCTCAAGCAGAGTGGACAAGTTTTGTTCAGCAAACTCTGCAGCGTGCAGCTGTACTTCCCGTGCAGCGACACGGCAGACCTTTTCTGCCAGCAGACATTCGTCAGAAAATTTCTGATAGAAGAGCTGCAATTAAGCAAGCGAAAAGGTCTTGTCATCCTGATGACATTCGCGGAGCGACGTATCTTGTTCACGAAGTAAGAAATGCTCTTCATGAATTCCGCAATGAGCAATGGAACGACTTTCTGGCGGGGATGCTTGACTCAAGCATTCCTCTCTGGAAGGTGGCGAAGTCGCTCAAAAACGGAAAGCGTGAACAAATCCCACACATTCACGGTCCTGGAGGCATTGTCTTCAGGACAGAGGAGAAGGTTGAGGTTTTCGCCGATGCCATGGAAAGACAGTTCTCTCCCAACTATGATCTTGATAATGACCTCGACGAGGAGCAACACATCGTAAGATCTGTCAGGAGATATTTTAGGGCCAACGGCGTCAGTGACAGTCACGCATTCGTTGGTGATTTTTCTTCATCAGAAGATTCTTTTTCAGAAGCTTCTTCAACCGAAGATTTGCTTAGCACATCAGCGGTATCTCCTGAGATCCCGCATTGCACACCAGCAGAGATTCAAGGGGAGGATCAAATCACTAATAAGGCGCTGAAGCTGCTTTCGCGGAAGTCCTTAACTTATCTCGTGGCAATAGTCAATGCCATGCTAAGGATCCAGTACTTCCCATCCGCGTGGAAGACCGCTGAAGTTATAATGATTCCAAAGAAGGTGGGTTCGATATTTCCCCAGGATTATCGTCCCATTAGCCTGCTGTCAGCTGCGTCTAAGCTCAGATCACCATGTGATTCCTGACGTGCAATTCGGTTTTCGGTCTGAACATAGTACGGAGCTACAGGTGGTTAGGCTGGTGGAACGTGTAACCAGATGATTCACCCTTAACGAAAGTACTGGCATCTTGCTTTTGGATGTCTCAAAAGCATTTGACAAGGTGTGGCACGCAGGCCTCTTGTATAAACTAATCCAAAAGGGCTTTCCTTTTTGGCTTCTAGAACTACTGAAATCCTTCCTTCCTCCATTTGAAAACGCAGGCAATCTACTGTACAAAAAGACGTCGCGGCGTTCCGTCTGAAGTTTCAATGAATGGACTTGCGCACTATTGCTGATGCCCCATGGTATGTCTCTAACGAAACTCTACATAGAGACCTCGATGTCCCTTACCTAAAGGACTACATTAAGCAACAGGCGCAGCGGCGCTATAGCCTAGCGGAATCGCACAGCAACCCTCTGTTGCGTGAGTCAGTGGACTACACAGTCGAGCAAGTTCGCAAGCACAAAAGGCCGCGGCTCGCACTAATCAAAATTAACTCGTGAACTTAGAACAACCAAAATTGGAGCATTTTTACACAATCTTTAGAAAAAATCAAATATTTTTAGACCATATCAAAATCTGTGAAGCGATTTTAACAATGCCTAAACGCTGCCTATCCTAAAAGATTCTCTTCTTCCCCTTTGCTCTCGTTCTTCCTTCTCTCCTTTCCTTCCCCTTTTTTCCTTAAAATTGTCTGGTTTCAAGGTTACCAGACCTGACAGACTTACAAACTGACACTGTGACTCAAGAGCTAAGGTCCCACGGACCGCTCTGACAACCAACGATGACTTGACTGTACTTGATTTCGAGCTCTAACAATGGACAAAAATCTGCTGACTAATTTGATAGACATCAATCAGTCAGAAGTTTCTGTTTGAACAGTTGATCAGTTGTCAGTAATCGGTCCAAGCTCCCTCAGCCAACTCGTAAGTCCTCATATACGCAATTCCTACAGTCAGTGACGCGTCAATGACAGCTAACTGAATGAACTAGGTCATGACTTGTCGCCGACTTGACTAGCAGCCAACAGGCTGTACAAACATACCATTAGGGCGGTATCGTCAGTACGTCAGTCGATCCTACAATATTCTAGGACGTCTTTATGGCCTCCTTGATTTCCATAATATCATGTCTTCTTCAGTAAGGTACTTGTGTGAACAGCTTTAGATTTCTGGGATGCTGACAGTTCTGACTATAGGTTATGCTATTATTTTGACATTTAAGAAATTTTAGACTTCCCATATATAAGGGATTACGTAAACTAACAGACACAGCGGCGTTATAATCAAGCGAAATCACACAGTAACACCCTGTTGCGTGATTTAGTAGACTACAGAGTCAAGCGAGTATGCAAATATTCCAGGCCACGCAATCACTGTGATCAAAATTAAATTGTGAATTTCACTCCAACTAAATTATTTCTTTACAAAACCGATCAAAACTATTTGTTAATTACCAAATAATTCGAATAGTTAAACCAATGATGATTAAGCGTTTTCTACTTCAAGTGAGCTATTTATTTTCTATGCTCTATTCCTTCCTTCCTTTACTTCTTTCTTTCTTTCTTGAACTTGTTTGGTATCTGGGTTACCAGACCTAACAAACTACGGACCAACGAGACTTTTGACCAATGAATTCAAACTAAGTAGAAGGAGCCATTCCAGAATTTCTTTTTCTCTTAATTCTCATAGTCTTAATGAGGATCAAAGGGCACTTGACATGAGTCAATTTTTTCACAGTTCTGCCACTAAATTCCTATTTTTAGTGTTATTTCTTAAGAATGCGACTATTTGCAGACAATTTTGACGATTTCAAGACATGGTACTTCTTACATAATGTGCAAAGGGCAAGCCTAATGAAGGTAGATGTATCCACTTGTAAGTACTATTATTATTTTGATACAACACTGGACCTCGGTTGGCCGCGTGGGTCAGAATGTCGTGCTACTGATCAGCTGGCCGGCCGGGCCGCGAGTTTTAATCTCCCCTTCGCCATGGATGTTGTGTGTTTGTTTTAGGCAGCAGCGGTGGCCGCAGTAGTAGACTCTTCGGTCTCCTGATCAGTCGCCGTGCGCTGTGCGGGTTCGAGTCCCGTCCCAGGAGAAATTTTTCTCTTGGCTATGGATGTTGTGATTGTCCGTAGGTGGTAGATGGTCTCTGACTGTCGAACGCGGAGGTACCAGCCGGCGGTTCTCGTAGGCGGAGCCAGAATGTGTGCATGTTGCATGCACACGTGTTCCCTCGCCAGAGTCCGTGTGGCGTCCCCCTTTTCCCATGTATCCCCCTATAGCCCCACGGTACCCAATGGGTGCTTAGGCCTTAGGCCTTCGTGGTAGTTGGAGTACAAAAAAAAAGAAAGAAAAAAAAACACTCACTATGGTAGGCATTGTTAGAAAAATGAGCCAAAAGTATGCATTCATCCAATTCGATAGTGACATACAGGCTTTAAACAACCTTTAAAGGTTTAAAAAAAGTTCAAACATTTATTTGCTATTGGTATGGTACATTTTATTGCCTTGAGGATCACTTACATGATATTAGACTTGTCAAAAATGCATATCTACATGGAGAATTACGCTATAAAGAACTAAATTTGCAGATGAAAAGAAAAACATGGATATTAGAAATGTAATACGTATACATAAATTAAGAACAGATATTCTAAAAAAACATGAAAATGAAGGCGTATAAATATTTGAACTAAAACACACCTACCCAGGGTGCATTAAAAATAGGAAAAGTTAATAAAAAGACAAACAGCCACATTTGCATGTTAAAATGCTCATCTAGGGAGTAAGAACATCTTTTTACTACATATTTTCTTACATGTTTTTCCAGGGTAAAGTATTCGTAAAATGTTAAACGCTTATTTGGTATTAACCCCTTGAGCCCGGTGATGCATCAGTTGCATCATTTCTGTATATACTAGTTCGCGTTTTAATCCGGTGATGCATCATGTGCATCATTTTCATTTGGCCGCCATAAAATTTTATACGACTACGGTATTTGACCGGATACATGCATGTACCTCAATTTCTCAGTGCCGTATAGTAGAAAAATTACAAACATTCGATGAAGTTTACCTATATTTTCCCTTGCTTTGTTCGCAAAAAAAACGAATCACCATAAGGATATTATTTAAAAGAAATGGTAAAAGACAAAAACGGTGAAAAATGATGAAACAACTTTACAAGAACACTTTATTACATGATTTATAACATATTCATAGGTTATCATGATAGTATGTAAAGTGGTCTAAGGAACACAATGGTATGCGGTTTTTACATCCAATACAACACTTATACGTGAAAATAGAGCGCTTCTTCTCAATGTTGTAGCATACCCAGCATCTGCGTCTCGTGTTCTGTTCACTACGAACGAGATCATGTCCTGCCAACCTTGATGTTGATGGTTCACTAAGTTTTTGCCTTTTCGCGTTTTTGTGTTGATCACGCATTGCTGTATAGTCTGAAAGATGTTTGGCAAGAATTTCATCACATAACTGTAATGTGAAGTCTTTCATATCTACTTTTCGTTTGTTTGTAACCGAGTAGAGGACTTTGGCATTCAGTACCATCCTCTGTAACACGTGGATCCCAACTTTCTTGAACCAGGCGTAGCTCTTCCGTGCTGCATTGTATGGTTCCATGTCCTGGTCCGTTGCATCAACGGCACCCATATTTTAATTATAGTGATCCACATGACTTGGCTTTTGTAATACTACAACGCGTTTATTGACAACGGAATACTGGTCTTTCTGAACGAAATCAGCGGTCAGTTTCGATGTGATCACATAAACGTCCTTTTTGTCTTTATAACGCACAATCAGTACATCTCCCTTTCTAATAAAACCCGACTGTCCTTTTTTCAACTGAAGTTGTGTGAGCTCAGACGGTACTCCCCTGTTGGTTCTAATTGTACCTGTCACGTAAGTATTTCGTGTCAACAAGAACTCAACTAACCTGACACGTACCAATTATCCAAGATCACTTCACGGCCTTCATCAAGTAAGTTTGAGAGCATATACACAACCACTCTTTCAGACATCGAAAGCGTATCAGTTCCTGGAATGTGTGCAACGTTATATATGTCTCTACCGATGTACAATGCAAAACTGTAGGTATAGCCTCTAAATTTGGGATCACTAGGGCACAGAGCAAACAGTTTGATTCCAAATCTAGATCTTTTGGATTTGAATATACTGTTTGAAATGTAGTCTGCCCTTGTACAACATAAGGCATTCATCAAGTGCAAAAGTTTCGCCTGGATCAATCGCAATCATCGTATTTTCCTTTATAAAAGCGAAGAACATTGCCAAACGGGGCATGGGTCTAGATGGGTCGGTGGCTTTAGGGTCAGTAAAGCGTAAAAATTTCATGATAGATAGAAATCTATCCCTACTCATTATGGTGGCGGAAAAAACTTGGGGTCCAGCCAAAAGAAAGTCTTTTCTCCAGTAATCACTAAGGTGTGGTAAATGGATCAGGCCTTGCATAAGTACCAGAGCAATGAATACGTACATTTCACTAACTGTCACATCACGCCAACGTAATCCGTGTACTTTCATATTTTTGTCAATATTTTCAAGGAAATATTTTGCCGCACGTTCATTAGTCCATTTGCATAAAAATGTTACAATTGTCTCACTAACAAATGTTTCGAAACATTTCATTGGAGACATCACTTCTTCCAGGACTACAGCTGGATGTACATCATAGTGGAGGGTCGGTTGTACCACATCGGTTAGCCGTTTATCATCCTCAGGATGTGGCACGATAATCCAGCCTTCAAAAGTGACGCATTCGGCTTCCACGTCACTTTCTCTTGAATTATATGAAAATTCATCTTCTTCGTCAGATGCACTGTCATCTACGGGATCATAATCTAAGTCACTGCTATCACTCGACATATCGAAACTTTATTTCAATACTAATAATATAACAAAGCTCAGAGACAACATAGAAAACAAGCCCAACTTGCATAGACTTGAAACTAATAAGCCCGACACACAGTAGAGTGAATAAACCGGCCACGTTGTATTTACTCTCTTTCCACACAGAGAGAAGCACGCGCAATCCAAGGTAATATGTATCTTGAAACGTCGCATCGCGTCGCCAGGCGCAGCGCTGACGATGCGGCCGGATGACAGCGCGCTTGCTGAATATACTGGCCGGGGCGAAGGGGTTAAACGTGAAAGATGGTAGAGAGTGGTATGAATCTTATGGTTTGTTCGTACAGTAGTCGGTAACTTGTCGGTGACTGTCAAAATCAGAATCAGAGATGTTACCCGTTCGTACAGTCTCTGACTGTTTGCCGACAGCTAATCCGCTGTTCGTACAGAACCTTCTGACAGATCAGAAGACACCAGTCAACCAGTGACAGTGACAGGTATCAGAGTGTGTCGAAACTATCTTGACTAAAATTTCTTCGCAAGAGGCATTTAATGATCGATGACTCTTCTTTAATGGACGGTATGGGGACACCTTAGCACCGACGGGCCGTTGGCGATCCAGCTACGCCAACGAGCTTTGCTTTCAGAGCTTTCTTCCATGGTGTCGCCGCGCGATGTGCCTGCCGGACTTCGGCCTCCCGTTGAACAGTGTCGAACTTCGTACATCTAAAACTGGCCGATAAGACCGCTCCATTGCCCTGGGGGTGTCGAGATCGTGTAATAATCTACATGACGAGCTTTTCTCAGTTCTAATAACTTTAGACAGTTCAAAAATAGGAATAACTAAGTTTCTTTCAGCTCCTCAAAGCAGCCGCGGTGCCCTGGCATGTAGCATTCACCTGCGCGGCTGCTTCGGTGCAAAAAAAAACTGAGCGATATACCAAGAAGATCAAGGCCCTGAAGTTTTACTGAGGAGAGAACGAAACCCAAAAACCTGATTTTTGTAGAGAAAACAGATCCACAATTCAACAGGAACAAGTTTTTGTAACATTTTCGGGTGAGCAAGAAGCAGAAGAAATTTTAATGAAAATCCATTTTAAACATCAGATAGTGCCAAAGTGCTTTGTGTTCAATATTTTGTTCATTGACCCGGTAATGGCAAAGTGAAGATTATGAATACAGTATGAAAAATCCCAACAATACAGGACATAACTTTCAAGAACCATAATTAATACGATTTTTGTGATCACCAATCTTTTGAAAATTTTTGTTACAGTTGTAAAATGCGAAATTACGCGATTTAAGTCTTACTTTTATGTATTTTAGACTCGGTTCTTCTTGTCCATGCTGGGAACTCTGTGAAACCTCTAGCTATGTAAGCAGATCTTGGTAATTGTAGTTATGTTTAGCTGTTTTAGCTTTTTAGTGTATAACACCCTTTATTATTCAAAGACGTTATTAAATACTTGTAGTATGTTCGGTTCTTTCTTCAAGTGAGAGTCTACATATACAGGGTGTTTCTAATTTGCCACTCACCATTGGGATCTTGGAAACTGTAAGGGATACGAAGTCGCTTAAATGGGGTAGTTAACAAAATGACACTTAGAAAGTTTCGAAATCCAAAGTACATACTTCCGGAGAACTGAATTTTCCCAAAATCGTTTTGATTTTTTCCTGACTTCATTTGTATTGGGATTTTAAAATAAATTGCATATTAACAGTCTCTAGAAGAAGGCATAATCCGAATTTCTATATGACGGTTCTTCTCTTGTCCTTAGCATAAACTTTATTATTTCAGAAAGACGCTATATTGCATTTTTGCAGAGATGAATAGAGTTTTTAATTTTGATTAAAAAAATGCATAATATTTCGTACATTGACGTTTCCAAAATTTAGTTACTTCAAAAAAAAAACAATTTCTTAGGAAGGCCTTGAAATTATCAGATGATTGTTTCGCTCACCAAATTTATTCCAAAATCACTCTTTACTGACTTTATTTGACATGAGATTTCAAAATAAATTGCATATTGTCATTGTACACATTACAAGATGGCGTAGTCAAATTTTCAATTCGACATTTCTTCTTTCGACTTCCATCATTTGGAATTTTGTACATTTAAATGGACTTTTCAACCCTAAATTCAGTGATGTATTTCATTAGTTGACCATAAATTTGTTGTTGGATGACACACCGTCTTACAAGCTCTATTGCTATGCAAACAAATGAAATCTGATAATTTCAAGGTCTACCTAGGAACTTCTGGAATAACTAAGGTTTTGCAATGTCAATGTATACATTTTTGAAATCAGAATAAAAATTCTATTCATGTGTGTTAGAATTCAATATGGCGTCTATAAGAAAAAATTAAGTTGATGCTGGAGGACAAGAGACGAAACGTCGAAAATGTGGCAGAGTTTATGTGCAATTTATTTTGAAATTCCACCACAAATAAAGTCAGGAGAAAATTAAAAACATTTTGGGAACTTTCGTTTTTTACGTCTCTTTCCGGAAGTACTTTCAATTTCAAAACTTTCCAAGCGACATTTTTCTGATTATCTGAATACGCAACTTTGCAGCTATTTAAGTGACTACGTATCCCTTGAAGTTTCCGAGATCCCAATGGTGAGGGTCGAATTTAAAATACCCTGTATAGGGAAAATATTATTTTCACCCCAGCACAAAGTCACTCCCTCTCCGTGGGCACCCGTGAGAAAAAGATGTATCACAAAATCTCCAGAATTCGTTATTTTGTTTAATTTTTCATCAGCTTTGGGCTGGACTTGCATAGCTAGAATATATAAATACTGTTTGTGCATACACTTCGAGGCGACAAGGGAACAAAAACCCTACTATCTGAGTTTTATTAAAAGTCATTCATAATACTTTGTACATTTCTCAAGCATAGTAACTGCAGACGTTTATTCAGAATTCTTACTATGTATTTACTTCTTCAACTTGTCATTCGATGTGTGGAATCATGTTTATATGAGAATTGAATGGGAATTATTAAGTAAATCTACTTGACATTTTTGAGTGCTGTTATTTTTTCTAGAAAGTGTCCATGTCTAGAGGAAGATTCGGGCACAAGCGGGCAGTTGGGCGAGAAATCCTAGATCTCTCAACTTTTCCAAAATTGTCTACTTCATTCTGAAAAATTTTACATTCGAATAATGATTGTACTTGATTTCGAGCTCTGACAATTGACTGGCAAATTATATGCTGACTAATTTGACAGTCATCAAACAGTCAGAAGTTTCTGTACGAACAGCGGATTACTTGTCGGTAATCGGTCTTACCTCCGTCAGCCAACTCGTAACGTTCTCATGTACGCAATCAATACAGTCAGCGACGTGTCAGTCATAGCTAACTGCGAAAACTAGGTCATGACTTGACGCCGACTATCAATTTGCTGATTGCCAGCAAATAGGCTGTACGAACAAACCATTAATGATAAAAACTCAAGATTTACAGCGGCTCACTTCTACTTACAGGCCCAAATTTTTCTCGAAAATGATCTGGGATCTGAAACGGAAAGTAACGAAGTTTGAGCGATTTTTTTTTCTTTTTCCAATGGAAATTTCATGAGAATCTGAATGATACTTTCCGTTATAGGAGACTCAAGTATAAGTGAGCGACATGGTTTTTCGATATAATAACACTCGAAAAAACTGATATCTTGATTTGGACGTTCTTGGTCTATTTGAGTGTGAAGTAAAAAAGACTTACATCCATTCGACAACACAGGCGCCATATGCAAAGTTTTTCACTGTAAGATTTATATTTTATGGATGAAATTATTGTCGTTGATTGTATTCATTTATTCAATTATTTTGACAGCTTGGAAATTCCATGCTTCTTGATAAATTGGAGAATCTGAAAATGAGTGGGTGAAGAATTATGAGTCGATGTACTTCTACTATATTTATCAGACAGTATCATGTAATGGCACCTTTTATTAAGACTAAAACGTATAAACACGTTTTGAGTAAATGTTTAGTTGAATAAACGGGTTACAGTGTTTTCAAGAAAAAAAGGGATATTGTGAATCTTTGATATAAAGGACAGTTTTATTTAATTTCGAGGCATATAAAATTCATCTTTCTCTAAAGTTGCAAAATTTTATAAATGTGCACTGATTGTGCAAATAAGGTAATACTTACCAAAAGAGTTCTTCAAGTTCTCCAGTTCCTGTACGGTTTCGTCCTGGAAATAACAAGTAACTAATACATTTTGGTCAATAGCAGCTAGGCTAATCCAACTACTCTGTTAGAAGTAGGGTATGAGAGTTTTAGTTGTATGAATATGTATATGTCGTGGCTATATTGCAGAATTGTCCATTTCATGACATGATTGAACATTTCATGTAATGGCGAACTCAATTTGACCATATCGTTAAAACGTCAATGTTTAACGATTTAGTCATCCTCGATTGATTATATCCCAAAATAAAATCCAGAATATGTTATGAACTCGTTTATTGTTCTTTAACTAAGACAACCAGTTTGAATTATTGGCCAATCTATCACAAATAAAATTATTGAACATATTATATATCACAAATTTAGTTATTACGTCGCGTGGTCACCCTACACTGCTTTATTTGACGTATTACCTAAAAAGGAAATGAAAACTACAATGAGTTTTATATGCGTAGAATAATATAGTAGTTCAACAGATAAACCCAATATTTTACTATTTTAGCTGGCATACGATTTTTACTTCAAATAAATGAATAATACTGTAATTCAAGAGTAAATTTTACACGTTTGAACTGCGTGACAATACGAAATGAATTGCATGTTGCCATTTTGAATCCAATATGAAGGATGCTACAAAATTGTGATTTATAAATACCATACTCACTCCTATGATATAGGTATCAATTCAAGGGGTTTGATCGAAGAAACATACTGATGTCATTCTGGGGCCAATATAGCGGCAGCCGCAAAAATATCATTGCTATAGTAACCCCTGTAAGATGGATATCGAACTTAAATGTTTGATGAGCAAAGCGTAA